TTATATACGAAGTGAATGGCATATAAAAGCGTAAGATAATGAAGCCCTTAGGGTATGGTATGTATTCATCTATTATATATTTATATATGTATATGTAAGAAGGTAGTTTGGAGTTAAAAAAAAATACATATGTTATTCATCAACATACTGTAACAGCTTCGATATCTGGATTTCTTATGAACTCTTTGTAGTAGGAATATTTTCATAGAAAGTATTTATGGAATATGCAATTACAAGAGCAACACTATTGACATCATTAAATAATCCACATCCAGCTTAATGAAAATATAGTCTTTAGGATTCGAATGTGAAACAGCTTTAAAACTTACTTGCATTATAACAAGCTGACATATCAGACTATACATTTTGTGGAACTATACGATTTTCGTTAAATATGTATAAGATACCAACTATTGAGATCTGTACATCTAGAGCACATTTTTGATGAAATAATTCAATGTATTGTATACAATAACTATTTCACTAAACCTTTGTGTTTTCTATAAAGCAGTTATGGCTTATGTCTTATGCCCAAAAATGATATTTCCCATTTTGAATTTTTTGTGTATTGTATTGTAATATCAACCCGCAGCATAATTTATGGTAACAGAATGGCATTTCACGTATTCTTTTATATACTTATGCATAAATTTATCTATTAAAGCTTCAAATTCTTTTTAAATTATCATTTGAATAATTTTAACAGGATTTTTCCATCTTTATTTAGTTACCATTTATATATAATATTTAAAATAAAGATAATTGCAATATCCGATGTGTCAGCAACATGTTGCAAGTGGTGGTTACATTAAAAACTATCGTGAAATTTCAAAGTTAATTAAAAAATAAATTTGTTAATCTTAATCGATAAATTTTGAAGCGACTTTAAATTTGTTTTAAAATTAGGGATGTTGATATTAAAAAAATAGTACTCGTATTTTATGCCATCATTGCGGCAATCTAATTCAACGAACAGCTAAACTTTCATTGTAGTTCAGGGCATAAGTGTCATTATCTCTATTTCTATCATTTTTGATTTATATCGAAAAACGGAACGGACTTAAATTGGGAATTATACTTCTAATGGAACAAAGAGATTACCTGTAAGAATCTAAAAACAATCTGCCGTAATATTTCAATAAAATTCATATAAAATACTGCGTACTCGAATATTGATAGCGTCAGAATATCACATTAATTATATTATAATATACATATAATAATGAAATATAATACAGATACAAAGTCTGATCATAAATTATTTCAAACCTACACTCTACCACACTAAAAACATAATATTAATACTTCAATAATAAAGAGAAAGTTTAATATAAATAATTATTATTTGTCCATCTGATGGAACATAACTTTAAGTATTATAGAGATTTAGCTGACAATAATAATCTGGGTATGATTGCCACAAACTGTTCTGGAATTGGCAATGGAACTATATGGTATAAGCAATTGTCCTGTGGAATATATGAATGTGCCAAGGTGGTTGATTAAAAACCTTTTGGCGTTAAATTCTACATTAAAATATTGAAATGCGATAGCATTGTTAAAGCTCATAAAACAAAAAGGAAATATAACATATTTTTTGGATGTGTTCTTTAAAACTTTTCAAACTGATGTGCCATTCTTAGGTTATGAGAACATGACGCTCATCTCTCGAAATTGTTTTAGCTTAAAATGTTTATTAAATACCAGAATTTTTCGATGAAATGCCATAAAGGCGGGCGGAAATTATTTGTTTGTAATATCGTTGTGTCTTCTTTGAACTACAAAAGCGAAATTTTCTTATGCAAGAGTTATAAAAATCCAGAAGTTTAAATCGATTCTTAACTCAAAATTATATACACTTGAAAATTTGTAATAACGTATGCTAGTTGAAAGTGCAATACGTAAATATATATATACTATGTTTTTAACATCTGAATTAATTTTCAATTAACAAAATATAGATTAATTGATGATAATGAAAACAGCCAAGCTGGCTGGAATCAGTAATTTGTTATATAAGGCTCATTGTGCCACTAGATCGTGCTGAAATTAACTGTGGAACTGCTTTCTCCGTCTTTGGTAGCGAATATTGGCATGTTTTTGATATCGTGGAATCTATTCAATATATGATTCTTCATTCAAAATTTGGTTCCAGAATTGGTAAAATCAATATATTGATGACGCTGAATAAATGAAAACAAACGTTTTGAAAGTCTTCAAGTGCAATCCTAGGAACTCTTTAAAGTAGACATTCTCAATATTAGACTACATAAAGAACATTTTTATAAAAACAAGCGACGCTATTTACATAAATATTTATATATTATATGACCATATATATCATACCAAATAATAATAGATTGATTGAAGTAAAGTAAAGAAAAAGTTGAATAACGGATATATAATCACATGATTTGAAAAAGATTTCAAGGACAACGAGATAAACTTTGGTTGTAATGGCAGGGGTTTGATAAATGATTTCTGTTTTTTAAATCGGAGTATGTATGTATGTATTCACTGCGCAGTTTTTATCTTTAAAATGTTTTTTTTTTTATTTCTATTTGCTTTTATTTTATGCAATTTGATTTTACTTTTTCAGCATGAAAGGAGTGCAGATTTTTTCCATTTCAACGCCATAATTTAAATATCTAAAAATAAAATTTAAATTTTCAGTTACGTTTAATTTACAATTGTAAAAGTTGGCTTGGTTTTACGTAAATTTATAATTATTTTATGTTCTTATTATTATTATCATTATATTTTGTTTCTTTGGTTTATCATTTTTTTGAATTCCTAATAATAAAAAGTAATGATTACTTTCATTTGCTCATATCATGATTCTTCTTTGCTTTTTTAATAAAGTATAATAAAATTTATTGAAGGCAGGTGTTATATTGTTATTATATCCATAAATACAATATAGTATTAATCATTAAATATTTATCATTTGAATTTTTTATTTTAAATTTTTTCTTATATAGATAAGTTCAATTTATGCCTTAATCGCGCTAATTTGTATTAATATTTTATTTGTTTTCTTTTTGCTCAATATTAAACACTATTTTATCTGCACTATATTTTACGTTTTTCTTTTTTTTTTTATATTAATACAAGTAAGGGCAAGTTGTTATTTTTTGGTTAGTTTTTTTTTTAGTTTTTTATTTGTTTTTGGTTTTTATTAAGTTTTAGGTTTCATATAAAATATTTTATACGACTAGCTCAGTATTTTACGTTCATGTTTATATCTCACACGCAGGCAATTTATTCTCAAGGAATAAAGTATTAATTCAAAAATTTACATATTTTTTATTTTTTATTATTCCATTATTTAAAGTACAATATCTAACGTTATTTACGAAATATTTATTTTTAGCAATATATGTTTTCATTAATCTAGTGAATTAGTTTTTTTTATGTTATTTCTTACAATATAGCTATGTATTATTTTCAGTATTGCATATTTACCTATCGTTCGCGTATTACCTAAGGAACAGATCAAGATACTTCGATTTGGTTTCATTTTTCCATTATTTATAGTATGTTTGTAATTATATTTTTACGTTAATAATTTGTATGTGGGTATGCATGTGTGGATACGATTATGAATGTTTGTGGCTTTATTACTGATAAACGTTTTCTTTCCTTTTTTGTTGTTGTACAGTTTTTTGTAATAAAAACTGATTGAGGTGGATACTTTGATGATTTATAAAACAAAGAATCGTACTCTTATTTATAAAAAAAATTGAAAAGTTAACTAGCTCAATTACAGTTATGAGATTATCAAAGTTTTAACACATGCGAGATCATTATGCTATGTGTGGCATTGGTAATCTTATTAGAATATAATAAAAAAGTAATGGAAATTATTTTTGTATTTAATTTTATAATTGTCTAAAAATTAAGATTAGTTAACAAATACAATTTTTTAACAAAGATTTTTTAAATTACTTGTGGCAGATAATTAGTGTGCATGTCAAATTGCTAAAAACCCACAAAACTTATAGCGATATTTCTATTTAAATGCATACTACTACATTTACCCAAGTGGAAAAATAGTATATGGAAAAGCAACCAAAATTACTTGGCGCTTTAAATTATTGTTGCAAACTGTTAAACAATTTTCATTAAAAATCTTCAATGCCGTTAATATGATTTGAAGAATAATTTTTCTAAAGTGAGAAATTATATATTTTTGATCGTTTCTTTCAACATAAAATAGAATTTGGTTTCAAGATCGTACTGCCCAAGACCAGGGCTTACCTATTCTAACCAACATCAAACGATTTTCCTAATATCGATTGTCCTCGACAGGTAATGTCAATTCTCCGAGCATAGCACTGTCGACAAAAGTTTTTTTAAATCAATTAGTAGTTCGAAACTGGTATGTCTCACCTTTTATTAATAAGGCGCACACCAAAATTCCACTGCCTTCGATTGAAGAGAATGTTAATAAAATAAAAATAAATAAAAAAATTATAAAACGACATCGCTACAACATGTGTTGTGATTTGAACGGATATAAGGGCTACTTCATATAAATAGTCACAAAAAGAGAATTATTTTGCAATATTCATTGTAAAAAACGTAATTTTATAGACATTGATAAATGAAACCCTTAAACCCACCGGATGTTGCAAATAGAATTTTTACGAGGAATATATGTATTTCTGAAATCGTGTTAAAATTTTTATGGAACTTGGGGAACATATTAGTTCTCGAAATATTGTTAAATATAATAGTAAATTTTATTCTGGAAACATACTTGTTTAATGTCTCAAAATTAAACTCATAAGTGCCAATGGAAAGGCACGAAAATTACAAAAAATTACGTCTTTACTAGATTTTTGTTTAGTTAGTATTTTTTAAAGTAACCGAAGTTATTAAAAATATTAATTTACATATGAGAACTAAAAAAACTGTACATATGGATGTTTCCACCTTTTAATTACGTTTAATGTTACACATGGCTTTGTTAGTTTTTTGTTTATCTGTTTCTACTCTTTGGGAATTCATAATTTATTTGTGCGCTGTTTCGTCCACCGTATTTTGAATTTGTAATTTTATTTAAATATATTTTATTTTTGTATATGCCTATTATGTTAATACATTTAGCTTATTTTTAGGTAAATTTTTACATGTTCCGATTTCGCGATTATTTACAAAATATTATGAATCAGACATTTCCACACTAACTACGTATGTTCGAGATTTTGGAATTTTTTAAATTAATATTTCTTTTCGACCAATATCGTTTGATGTGTTGTTGCACAAAACAAATATGGTATGTTTGTTTGTGTTAAGGTGTGCAACGGTACAGTGTTTGCGGGCGTGTAGGTGTATGTAGATGTGTGTGTATGTATTGCATTCGATTTTGCTGGCTACACTTGTGGAGAAAATAATGGACTTCTAGCATTCGTCTACATTCAGTCTTGAATGGAATGCTTAAGAATTGTGCTTGACACATGTTTTTATTGATCTTTATATGATTATATATGCTCTTATTGACATCAGCAGATTTTAACTTAAAACAATAAAGCACCTATGTACATAATTATAATACTTTCCAGTTGTCGATAAGTATTGAGGTACACATTCTAAATCATGTCGATTGTATCAAAACTATAAAAATTTTCTCAATTTTCTCTGCTAATATGAAATCTGATGGCCCTTGGTGCTCCTCGCGCTTCATATTTCTCTCAATTCCAGAAAATCAATTTTGACACCAAAGAAAAGAGCGGTTCAACAATTCACACGTATAGCTAAAAAATTGTGAACCACAATTCTTAGTCATTTATTTATACCGAATATATGAACGTATGAAACCCATTGAACGCATACGAAAACTAGGTAAAATAGTGTTATTTGATTATGAACTCGTGGATGGACTCGGTTGGTATATTTGTCCCTCAGTAAATGCCTGATTATGTCGCACTGGTTAGATATTTATGAGATCCTTAGTTCAAATCCCGCCATAAAAATATTCTTTCCATAGTTATAATATTCCCAAATGCAATATTATATACATACATTTTTATCACAATGCGAACATAAGTGTTTATTGCTTCGAAAATGCTTTGATCATGCCACCATACATGTGTGGATAGTCACTTCACGAGACTACAGACGAAGTTTCGGCCATTTCCTATCAATGTTATTTTATCAGAGTGCTTCAGTGCATTTGTACTGGTCAGAATCTAGTTACGGGTCACTTGTAAAAAATGCATTAGTGTCGTGTTATGTAGCCATTTTCGTGAGTGGTATGTTTTTAAAAATGTGAGTGTCTATAATTTGCCTGCTTTTCCGTATTCATACTTCAAGTTTTGTATTTTTTCTCATAAAATGCATTTCAAAAACTTGTTACTCTAAACTTTGCTTGGCTTCAATGTAAAAATCGATTAATATATTTCATAATTTTTATTTGCTTCGTGCATGATTACATAAGTGTATGTATGCATAGTGTTAAGTATATATATGTATGCTTTATGTGTATTTTCTTTTTATAATGTGTGTTAAAATTACAATATATTGCGTTTCTACAAGTTCACTTTATGCTATGGTGATTTTGGCTACCTACGGTATACACATATGTATGTATGTATATATGTGTATATTATTATGGGTACAAGTATGTATGTGTGAATATAGTAGCTCCAAATATTCAAACCAAAAATATACACTAATTAAAATTTGCTATTTCCTACATTTCCCCCATTCGCTATACAAATCCTCAAGGAGTTTTAGGCAAATTAGACTATGATTTACGCTTTTGGCCCCATTTCCCTTGCCATTTAATAAATTTGGAGTATGTTGCATGTATGTATATGGGTGTTTACCTGTGTATGTGTGTTTTAGTTGTATTTGTATTTATATTTATTACTATTTTCGCTAAATCTATTGAATAAAATCATTTCGCTTCAAGCTAATCCATTTTATAACTAACACTAAAATATATGTAAACGACGAAAGAAGTCTTTTTGTCTTACATCAATGTGTATGCAAATGTGTATAAATGAATGCTTGATTATTTATATGATAATGTAATATGTCCATATTTGTTATTTAAAGCTACCAACAGAGTTTAATGCGTATTTAAAAGTCTCTTAACAAATTCTTAAACAAATGTGTATGTATGTATGTAATATACAATTAATAATTTTAAAGTATATACCTATGTGTTTGTATGTATTTGTGTGCAGTAGTTGCTGTAATGCTTTGGACCAAACTTCAACAGAAACAAGGCAGTACCTATGCATCCATATATGCATATTTATTTATACATACACACATAACTATATATATACATTCATGTATAAATTATGTTTATGCAAATTCTGAAATATTTTTACTATGAAATAGAGGAAATAAAATGTTTTTAAATGATATTTGTTACGCCTAACTCGAAAAAATTGGCTTCTTGGTGATGTAAATATTTGAATACTCCTATGTAGTATGTAATGTGTATCGTGTTATGTATACACTTATACAATTCATCAACTAACTGCTATTGTAGTCACAATCTATTTTAATGTCTATATTGCCGTACTTGATTTAACTGAATATTTTACTTATGTGTTCCTATGTATTTGTCGACTTCTACAGCGTATGATACAAATGATGTTCAGGTTGTGTTGTTGCTGTCGTCGTGGGCTGTTGTTGCAAATACGTTGTTAACGGCGTGTGTGGTTCACTCACTGCATACTGCGTATGCTGTTGATTTGGTTGGAAAAGCTCGTGATCAGAGTATATTCGCGTGGTTGCTATATCACATTCTGGTGCCGTCTCTGGATGTGGTAGAACCAATGAAAGCTGTCTGTAGGCGACGCTTAAACGTTTGTGCTCGGCCTGATCCACATCTAAGCCACAAATTGCGGGTTCCGTTGCGGCTCTGGCACCCATTTGTAAAAGTATAGCAACATCCGGTTCGGTGTCATCGTTAAAATTAACAACAGCCGCAGTGGCAGTATTTATGAAAGTGGTTTCTAATATATCGGTATCGGATGCAGTTGTGAAGTGTTGCAGCGGTATTGTATCAAAATTATGGTCTAAATCCGGTGCAGATAGTGATGGAAATATGGCTTGATGCTATACCCAGATCTGTTCCCTTCGATTACGCAATCGCAATCAAAGCCTTTGCTAGCACCAGTCCTCCTCGTCCGAATCAGAATGTCGTGCGTGTAAGCCACCTTTTGGCTTATAGCCATTTAGAACGGGTGACGGCAGTACACGACCCGTTCTGCCCATAGCGAGCGCTTGTTCAAACGACAGCGGCGCTATGTATTCCAGTCTAAAATAAAAGTTTACCCATTATTAAAGATGTAATATAAATGTAAATAAAGCAGAGAAAAATCCATGCTTAAGGTTTCAACAAAGACACTGTACAACAAAAAAAAAAAACCAATACTCGAATAAAATAAAGGACGACTCCGCTAGTATGTGAGGTTTACAGGTTTTGGAATGTCGGTACGGCATATTTTCATACTGTACTATCGCCATGTATTCATGCACAGTTCTAATATGTTCATTCATAAAACGATTACCGATTGTGAGTCACGAAGGTTTTATCCCGACGAGTGCTTGTTAGAGAGAAAATCCTTACTCAATTTACTTGGAATCGCTTTACTTCATTATTTTCTAAAGTATCAAGTTTATATAATGACGCGTTTATTTCACAAAATATTTATCACACTGTGCTCATTCGCATAATGTCACTTGTTTTGAGCTTTAAATTATTTACTAACCTTTCTCTTTCGAAATCCCTTTGACGATCACGCTCTCTCTCATAGAGTTCACGTTCATGATCCCGATACTCATACCGCATATCGTAGTCACGAAGGTGATCTCGATATCGCTCCCGATCACGATCGCGTTCTCTACTGCTATACAGGTCGCGGTACATGGCGCGATCCCGCAGCAGATCACGGTGGTGTGGCAAAGAATGAACACTATGGGGTGTCGAGTGATGTGTCTTAAAATATAAAAATATTAGCTTTAATATGGAAAAACAAATATATTCATTAAAACTAAATGTGAAATATAATTATTTTCTCTTCTTCCGCTATTACTAGCCTCAGTATACCCGAATAAAATATTTAGCGCTGACCGATTATGAAGTGTTTGATTAATTTCAATTCATAATTTTTATACTCTTGCAACATGTTTTCACAGAGTATAATGGTTTTGTCCATCAAACGGTTGTTTGTATCATCTAAAACTAATCGAGGTTGAAATAGGGCTATATAGATATATATATATAAATGATCAGGATGATTAGACGAGTTGAATTCCGAGTAACTGTCTGTCCGTCCGTCCATCTCTGCAAGCGATAACTTGAGTAAGAACTGAGATATCTTGATGTAACTTGCTACATATGCTCCATCGCATTCGAGGAGGGTTGGTATCCCAGAAGGGTGGGATCGGACCATTGCCACGCCCGCAAAACGTCCTTAATCGAAACCTATAAAGTGTAATAAATAAGCTTCACAATAAGGTACAAGGCTGTTATTTAGTACAACGAACTGCATTAGGGAAGGGTATCTATGATGGAACATTTTTTTAAAAGTGGGCGTGGCCCTACCCACTCTTTGAAAATAGCCCACTCCTCATATAACGGTTTTTTTAAAAAGTACTAAAAGTGTGATAAATCCACAATTAAATGCGTCAGAGACGTTAAATTGTACGCATGAAATGATACGATAGAGCTTTATAAGACGTGGCACCGTCCACATTTAGGTAAAAACCCATGTCTCGGGACGTACTTGACCGATTTCAACCAAAAAACCAATCAGCGTATCCAAATAAGACTTTGCACGAATAGTACCTTTGAGGTGTGCCACCTTATGATCCGACCAAAACTATTTAGGCCCCTAAAAACCGAATATGTGGACAGATCCTATTGCAAACTTTTTATCGAACATATCGATCAATCCGTGAGGTATATTAAAGAAATTCAGAGAGAATCCTTTTCTGATAATGGTATGCCTGTATGTCAAAATAGGGTTAAAAAATTGAAAGAGCGTGGTTTTGTTATGACGGTGCATGTTTGTGCCTAAAATTTATAAAATTGCGTGATAACTTGCGATAGACCCCAAATAACTAATATCAGGACTCCGTCTTATATATTGGTAGCATCATGTTACGTACCTTAATGATACTCAGAGATCATCTTTTTTTTGGTAATATGTAGTAATGTCAAAAATAGATATAATCAATATCACGATATAATGATTTCCGACTTCCCACCTGTCTTTAAACCGTTCAGTTTGGTGAAAATGTGTGATATTTTAGTGAAATTAAATGGACAGAATTTATTTTCTTCAATTGAGTACTGAACATTTCTTAAGACATATCTGACGTATTATTTGAGGATGATTTTAATATAATTTTCGCTGACGCGAAATAAAAAATATTTATAAAACTAATCTAGTTTATGATTTATACTATAAGTTAAAAAGATACAAATTTGATTGTAACACATAAACCATTTCGTTGAAAAATTAAGTTTAATCCTTTCGTTATATTCCTTAATATAAAGTTTTGTTCGGTTAAATTCGAAATTAGCCCTTCCCTATTTGCTTAATTCAAAATGTCAACGAGAGAATTGCGTGAGCTACTTTTAATGAAATACAAAATGGACAAGGACTTTTGAAGAAGAGTTTTTTAAAGCTAAAAAAGCCTTTTATACTCTTATTGCCCTTAAGTCCGAGTTACATCTGGCACTGTAGTATTTTACAATTATATTCGTAGATAAATACCATACTAACAGAACAATTACCTAATTACTATCTTATGACTTACATGTGTTGGACTTGCGTTAAGTTTTGGAAAATTAATATTTGTTGGCTTCAGCTGTAGTGTTGATGGTTTACTTGGTGTCGGTGGTAGACGTCGACCCATGCCAGCACGTCGCGATGCTAACGTTGGGTAACTGTACTGAACATGAGTACCACCTAATACGAAATAATTGCATTAAAATAAAGTTTTGTAAATAATTAACTATATAAAAAAAAACTTTGAAGTCATAATGGTTTAGAAAATAGTTGTTCATATTGGAATTAGTCGCTTATGTTATGTAGTGTAGTTATGTCGTGTGGATAAAGAACCCAAAAGCATGGAATATGGAAATTACATCAAAGTGAAACATTTAGATATTTTATATTGTAGATAATTTACATATGAACGTTAAAAAAAAAAACCAAAAATTTCATAATGATATGAATGCAAAAACCAAATGTGCAAAGGCAAATGTTTTACCATAAAATCGGAACATGCATAAAATGTATCCTGGTGTGCCTTTGATATCGCATGAAAATATCATATGATTGCCAAACAAAATGGACACATGAATATGGCGAGGAAATAAGAAGTTTCGTATTTAATTTTTGTTACAAAAAACTTTTCCTTAGGAACTGGAAGTAATTTTAACTTTAACCGAGTAGAAAGTTTGCAAAGATAAGAGAATGCATACAACAATATCGCATCTGCGCATAAATTTTGTAATTTCTTGTTGTTTTTTCGAGAATGAACTTTGAATGAACACAATTAACTGTGATTTAATTATAATTTGTGTCAAAAACAAAACAAAACAAGAATCAGAAAAGAGATATTGATACTTTTTGAACATTAACTTGTCCCTGCACACTCTGATAGCTTAAGGGTCTTCAGTATAAATTGAAAACTTGTATTAACAACACTCCCAAGAAGGTTGATAATCTTTTGGAATTCAGTAATTAGTTTTATTTAATGAAACCGCCATATAACTTTTATGAAAACTACGAAATGAAATTATATAAGTATTTAAAATATTCAAAAAATATTTGTCAATAACGAGTTAATATATATCAATAATTAATAACCACACTGACCACATCATTCATTCAGTCATAACCATATACATATATTTCTAAATATACAAACACATGTTTATAAGTAAAAGTTAATACAATGGTTTGGTACATATTATGTACATATGTATATATTGTAGAAATGTGTGTTAGTGCCGTTTCATTGGGATTCAAAAGAGTCTGATGTTTTTCAAAATTCCTTTTGGTGTCGCTCTGGGCATTCACACGGTCAAAAAGAGTCCAGCAACTCGAGTCTAGTTTTTCTGCATTCCTTTTCACAAAATTTTCGTAAATATTTATGCGGTTCGACTGCGCAACACTGCGTGCTGCGTATTTCATTTGTAAGTTGAGATGATGGTCACACATTTTGCTTGCAATGAATTATCATGAATATGGTAGAACAATATGCATAATACAAGTACCTACCCGCTAAATAGTTTCAAAGAAATACTAGAGATGGGAATTTCCTAATCCACAAAAATGTATTGAATATCCGCTACTAATATTTTCAAGGCCAAATTTATAATAGGAATTTCCTAATCTTTAAGTATTAAAAACTCATAATTTTACAACTCAATATTTACAATTTGTCATAATATTTCTATTATCTATGCATACGTATTTGCATATTACATAAAAAAATAGATAACAGAACTCAAATTTGCGATCGAATTCATTTGAAACCGAGCGCTCTTGCAACCATTCAAAGAATTTGAAAGTGAAAAGGAATGATGAAAAGGGTAGCAGCGAGCTGTTACGAACAAGAACACAAAGCGTGCCACCCGAACACGAGTGGCACGGTCCCTTCGTCTTTCCTCGTCGTCCCCTAACCCACAATAAACTGGTATGAGACTCTTTTGCGTCCCAATGTGAAACGGCACTTACAGGGTACAAAATTAAAATGTCATAGTATATTTCTTAATGGTTGCTGGTGTTAGGACGAGTATAATTACATATGCAAGTATCTGTATATGTATGTGAATGTAGTAGAATATCTATATGTTGTGTACTTTTGTTCATATAGTAAACATTTGCATATACAGTTATGTATTAACTATGTATAATTGGTGTTTTTAGGTGCTAGCTGTTAGTATGTATGCTACTTTATGCACGCATATGACGAGTAAAAACATGAAAGACTGTGGACAAACGCAACAGATGAGAAGATGCGATGAATGAGAGAACGGTTGTTAAATTATATTAATATGTGTAATATTTTTTTAGTTTTAAGTCATCAATTTTCTTTACTATTTGTTGTTTTAATGATTTTTCAAAAATTTTGAAATAAAACACATTATGTTTTTTGTTAATTTTTTTTTTTGTACCCATATCAATCCCATAACCAAGTCTATCTCGTTCACGCATCTCCTGAAGTCGAGCGGGACTCGGCGAACGTGATCTTTGACATAGACTTGTTGTCCCATATGTGGGAAAAGGCAGTTCTGTACGCCTACTGCGCGAATAATGGCCACCATAACGAGAAGGCGAGGGCGAACGGGCCGGACTTGTCGATGCTGACCATGAACCTATACAACAACAATACACAGGGGTTTTGGTAGTATCAAATCTCATTTCATATCATTTACATTAAAATCATCGAAATAATAATATAAATACATTTGTTATAAATAATTGATAAATATATATGCACACTATACATATAAAAACTTTGAATGTAAATTATTGAGAAAATTGTATTAGCCATGAAAATAATAGTATATTTATATGTCTGAACGAAAACTCTAAAACATTAATAAATCAAGTAAGGAGAATAGTATTACATAAAAACTAGTGATGCTAGAAACTTAATGATTAATGTACGAATTTATCAATTTTGATCGTGTGTGTGTAAGATTTCTGCGCCAATGCTTTAGTTTATTATAGAAGTTTTAGAAATTTGGAAAATTATGGTAACTACTGTAAGAAACTTTGTATATACAGCTATGTATATTCTGAGTTGTTGTACATATGTATATTGTGTGTGATTTTGAAAATGATTTTGCAACAAATACCGCAGATCATCTAAGGTTTATTACATGCTTTTTTGGATGCTTTGGTATGAATTTGATGCGCATTATATAATCTTAATTAAATATTTAACAAAGAATTTATTCATGTATTATTCCAAATAATTGATTTGGTAATTTTTGAACTGAAATAAAGAATTCTAAATTTTCTTAAATTTTTAACTACCCGAATATTAACCTATAACCGTAAACCAGATTTATGTAACCGTTGAATTTTTATTAAGGTTTCGAGCATCACTTACAATACTACAGCTCCAGGTATACTTATATGTTACTTTTATATAACTTCAAAAGTATGTTTAGTAGGCAACGATTCTCAATAAAAATGGAATCCAATTTGCAAAAGAAGTCATTTTCACGGAAGTATTTAATAATAATATATGATATAAATAATGGCGATACATGCGGTGGATTTACTCATTGACTCGTTCATTGCGTATTTTTTATACGAACAAAATGGTAAATTAAATTTGCCATGAAGTTTGTAACACCCAAAAGGAAACGTCGCAGACTTTATAAATTATATGTAAGTACATACATATACATATATATGGGTCATTGCATCCAAAATTTAAATTCACATTTTTTTTCGTGTAAAACTGTTTTTTTTTTGTTCTTTGATACAAAATATTGTAAAAAATACGAAAAGTTTTCTAAATTTTAACGCTCGAAAATAGTATCTTTAAACATTTGGGTATTCGGTGAAAAGTATCTCATTGTAAATATAGCTGGCTCAATATATACGATTTTTTTTCAGTTTTCCAATACGTTGAATTTTTTCGACATATTTTTTATAAGCAAAGGAATATTTTTATAAACGAATATTTCTGTTTTTAAATTTGTTTATTTATTGTAGTTTTTTTTATTGACACATTACATTAGGATTTTCAGTCACGTCTGTATAAATTTGAGAATGGGCCGTTAAAACCTTCATCCACAATAAATTTTTAATCTTCAACATCTGCACACCGGTCGCGCAATTGTTCGTACTTGATCACTGCGAAGCATGTTTGATCACGCATGCCGCTACACACTTGAACATAAAGATCACTGCCTTAGGGGCAAACGGGAGGGACAAAGTTGGAAAATTTGTCAAAATCACAATTTTTATTTGGAAATAAAAGAATTCTTGTCCCATATTTTTACTCAAAAAAATAAATAAATAAATGTGTTGAACGAAAACAATTTTAAATGTACATTTAAGATGGAATGACTCATATACATATGTATAAATGTTCAGCGGGACGAGCTGAGTCAATTTAGCCATGCCCGTCTGTCTGTCTGTAAATACGCGAACTAGTCGATTATTATCCAAGGCAACGGTACAATTTCCGAAGAAATCGAATTACTTTACAATAGCATATAGCTTCTTTAAAAAATTAACGATTAAAATAAAGTTCTTGTAAGAAACTTTAACCTGTAAAGGACATTATAGCTTCGGTGCAACTGAAGTTAACGTTTTTTCTTGTTTTTTATACCCTGAACAGGGTATATTAAGTTTGCCACGAAGTTTGTTACACCAAGAAGGAAATGTCGGAGAACCTATAACATATATACATACATAAATGATCAGCATGATGAGCTGAGTTGATTTAGCCAAGTCTGTCTGTATATATGCAAACTAGTCCCTCAGTTTTTTAACTATCTATATATATCTGAAATTTCACACCTATTCTTTTTTCACTAAGAAGGGTATTATAGCTTCAGTGCAACCGAAGTTAACGTTTTTTCTTGTTTGTTTTAAATATTGATACAATTTTCAAATTAAACGACATTTGATTTTCAAAATCATCTATGACTTCATAATAGAAAAATTATTAAGAAATGATACTACACTTAGCACAAATAGCGCCATGACAACTGGAAATTAAAAAAAATCGAAAATGCCTCATACTATGTTATCTAATGTTCTCCTTATTGGCTTTACATCTTATATAATGTGTTTTTATATATTAATGATAAATATGGGTCTCTCTTGAAGGTAAAGAGTGGTGTTGAACACATTTTTTTTCAACAATTCATCCCCATAATCATCCCCGGGATCCGGTTTTCTCTCTACAACCCTGCGCCGAGATAAATCCTAGTGAAATATTTTATTCCTACTCATTTATACGTTGATCACTTATAGATTAATTGGGGTAATCGATATTTTTAATTTGAATCAATAAGTGCTAACTTTCGAAATTGTTTATGGTTTTTGTTCTAGCCAATTTTGAAAATAAATATGAATATGAATTTACATATTTGTGAGTACGGGTTTTAAATTGCAGATGAGGTGTATTTGAACTGATATAATTACTTGGAGTATGTATTATATATTTGATATTGTGTCATAGGTATGGGTGAGTTTCTATCTGTACTACAATGTACCATAAATGTGTAGTAAACAAATATTTATTTAAGCATTTTCAGAGTAGTTTTTTATTTCAAAAACAGATAACATGCTTTTTCTGACAAAAAAAATTTGCAAATGGCAAATATTTTATCTGATTACTTCCTTAATATATAAAAGTACTAAACAAATTTTATTCCACTCGTCTGGGAAATATCCGGTTATGATAGAGTTTAACATACAATTTACAATATAAAATCAGAAATTTTATTTTATTATTATAGATTGAAGCACGTTTGGTCCACCATCAGCTAAAAATGAGCAATTTTAAACTAATATGGGCTTCAAAGTTTTTTTTGACTTTTATGTTCATTTCGAGTTTTTAAGATACAATTACATTTTTTCCCGGACTTTTTAGAGAAGACAAAAATGAATAGGTATCACGGCAGGAAACCGTTTCTCAACACTTTCAAGTTTAGATTTGAAGTACTTGAGCCGTATTAAAGAACGTTTTTTTTTTAATATCTACGAAAATAAAGTGAGCTGTTCGTTTAAATACACGTGAAAATATTAACAATGTGTATTTACTGGTCAAGTAACTTCTAAGTGTGTTTTAATATACATACATTCATATATTTTCTTTTAAAGTATCAAGGATTAAAATTTTTGTCAATACTTGTAATACAAAGTCATCTATCATAACACAAATAACTTCCATTATAATTGAACTACAAAAATTTGTTACACAGTTATATGATTGTGTATGAACATACATAATATATAAATAATATTCTAGAATGATAGCTGTAAGCTAACTGTAAGCTAACTGTATTTAAAAAACGTGTTATCCAAAGTGTATATTAACGGAATATTTTAAACATAATAACACAAACAAAATAGAATAAAATTATAGATATTTTATTTGTATACCTCTTGGATAACGCGGATGTCCATATCCGTGCCTAGGATGACGGGTCTCCTTGACCATCTCTACAACATTAGATACGGTATCGGAGAACCCAATATCATGATGTATGTATTGATGGCCTCGCCGTCTAGGACTTGGAGATCTGGCCAATGGAGATCCGTTATGTCTAATTCAGTATAATCATTTGAATTATAAATAGTGTTATGTTTTTACTGAGTATTTTTTATATAGGCATTGGACATATTTGCAGATAGGTTGCTTTTAAAAATCGAGGATATTGCACTCACCTTAAACTTGGCGAACGGCGATGATGACCATTGTGATACGCGTGACCAGGATGTAAATGACCAGCATCGGCACCGGTTAAAGATTCCTGAGATGGATGTCTCGAGGCATCCTGAAGTTCCAGCATCTGATGGAAATTATCAAGATCGCAAATGTGAGTAAAATGTGACCAAAAATAGAAGCGATTTCTTCTACAACAGCTGATACAGAAATTACATTGGCAGGAAGGAATTACATATATAATACACAATTTATTTAAAGTTATATATTTAACTATGGTATATAAGCGAGAAAGTACATACATATGTACGTAGTCAGATATCTATATCTATATAGGTATATATATATATTGTAAACTATCTAAATAATTTTAACGTATATTTTAAAAAATGGGTACTCAATAAATTAAATGCGGGGTACAAATATGTATGTATATGTTTTTATAAGTGTTGTAACATATGCATGTAGCAGTTGTATAAATGAGTGTGCGCTACTTATAACAATATATCAATTACATTTGTTCGTTACTAAACGTTTCAATCATAGATTCGCTTCAAAACAGGCGATAACTTAATTATACTTTTGCAGCGCTAAATTTTGTCTATTTTCGATTGTGACACTATTCACTGTTTGCTCCTCTAACACTCTGTCCTATATTTAAAAATTAAACAACAAATAATGGTCGTCTAAAATTATTTAGAAAGTATGACCGCTCTAAATAAAAACTTAAAAGCGAACTAAAGATTTCCAATTCGTTATGGCATTGGAAGAACACACATCAATGGAGAAAAATGAAGGAATAAATGATTTGTAAGAACTTGTAAGAAGTTGCTTCAAACCTAGGAAAGTTCATGCAACTAGTTAATGATAGGAACAAATAAAATGAAAAGGATTGCAAGGCATTTGGAAGAATGCATTCGAAGGAATTCGCATTGCAATGTGCGTGTCATGTGGCGTGTTACATGTGAATAATTAGAAATTAGGGCCTCTGTGTATTTGTGTGAATTACTTACCAAAAGGTTTGCTAAAAACAAATGCAAAATGCAAATGTTGTGCCGTAAACGACAATTACGCAATTATGTAGGTGAATCGGTGCACTTACAATAAAACATTACCCTTATTTTATTAATCGCATTCATACACTGTCAATCGAATTTGTGTAATTTTACCATTGTGTGCAGTTAACGGATGCAATTTAATGTAAAAGTGAGTTGTATTTTGCTGCGTGCGTTAAATGTTATAAATGTATTTTTTCGAAATTTCGAAAAAAATATGAGAAAGTAACTTACTAATTTAACAAAAGATGTAAAATTTCATGTACTCTTAAAATTACGCTAACTAAAGTGAAATTGAATTGTAACTGAAATGCTTAGTATCCAATGCTATCAGAGTCTCTCTGCTGACAAATGAAGTCCTGTACTATCATAGTTGTATTACCGGGGTGTTTTGTTTTCGGCAGCAAAGATTTGTTTTGTGAGCTTTTTACTCGGATGCTTGAAAAGGCTTTTCCGATTTTGGTTTTCTATTGCCAAAAAATAATCACCGCACTCTTCCATCATTATAAATAAGAGTATCAGAAAGCGTGAGCTCTTATTGAGCTGCTGTTATGTCACGAAGCTCGTTAAATGGTATAAATAAAACTAAAAGGAAGGATCCAAAGGTTATATTTACAGACATTTAAAATAAGTTATTATGGCGGAAATATATGGAAAACGATGTCATAATATAATTCACATATGCAGTATTAACGATTTTAATCAGAGCAGAGAGGATGTAAAGTTAGCGCATACAGCACACACGAAAACTGCCTTACCTGCTTACAAAGCCACAATACATAAGATAAGCTCCACAAATGACATTAACAGCGATACTTTTAATTATACTAACCAAAAAGTATAGAATATTTAATCGTTGGTTTCTATGAATGCCGCCACTGAACATATTCACCGACTCACGCAATTTAATGTAGACAAAGTGTCTACCATATATAAAAAATAATCTTTTATCATTATAACATGTTGCACTCTTTGGATAACCAAAAATTACACTAACACAACTATTTAAGTAAAAAGTATTAGTAAAACGGACGATATCCATGACGATACCACTAGTTATATATACATATATGTTAGCTTTAGAACTCCTACTGAGTTGAAGTCCGCAAGCACCCTTCTTATCATGAGCATTCGATTGTTCATATACCTTTGTAATTATTCAATCTTAAATATTTTGTATTAATTATTGAAAAATTAACGTTCTCTACACATTTATACACATTTTGCCAGTATCACAAAGTGACAGTTATTACAATAATTTTACTTTAAATATAAACACAATATCGAATTCTAAAATTCCACGATGTACGAACATATATACAAGAGTTAGACTTTTACCTTATGTCTATGTATTATGTCTATGGCCAAGTAGTATTTATGTATATACCATATATATTTAAGTACATAATTATGACAACAACTGTACACTAGGTATTAAAGAACTCGTATGTAGATTAAGTAAATAAATGGCAAAAGAAAATATGCACATATGTACCTATCTAGTATGTACATATATATGTACATGTGCATATTTATATACAGAAAGAAGTAGATGGCACACTTAGTCATAACATACATATATCCAAATACACAGTACGAGTATAGTTTAGTAAAAATTGAAATTTCTTTTACCACTGGAAGTGTGTCAAACTTATTCACCTTTTTGTTTCTGAAATTATTTAAAAATTGAGAGAAACAAAGAATGTATTTGAGCATATAAATACATATGTCGTATAATAGTACCAAGTGTAATATGCATTATTATGTTTAAGTGAAATGAATAGTGAATGAGAGGTGATTGATGCTTAGAGTTAGGGAGATGCATAGTGAGGGTAAAGGTTAAGTTAAATAAGCATCTTGGAATTCTAGTTTTCGAATACATATATTCTATAAAGAACCGATTCTTAAGTTGTTTCATCTCTACAATGATTTACATTTATGGTTATCAATAAATTGTTTGGTTCCTACTACTTTCTGCAAAAAGCTGAGCAAAAGTAAGAAAAGAACTAAATGGATACAGGGTATGTTTCACTTTGACATAAGAGATTATTTATTTGAGTACTTTTTTTGTCAAAACAAAATCTTAAGTAAACTTTTAAGCTTCTCAAAGTCTATGCTTTCTCTAATTGGCATTATTTGGAAAGATCTGCTCGATCTTTGCTCGACTAATTTTCAAAATAAATTACTTAAGTGGAGTATATGTGGAAATATAACGCGTAGTGCGGTATCGCAAAACAATCCAGGAAGCTGTAATATTTGACGACCTATTGTGCCATCAAACCACATTATTTAATATATTTGGTCTGATCAATGTTTTACCCTTTAAGCTGGATTCTTAGTTGGTCTTAGTTAGTCTTCTTGTATTTAACCCTTTCAAATTGCAAGAGATTTTTCAACTCTGCCCAACGACCTTATTTACTTGTCCAATGCTATAATAGGATTGGTAGGAATTAAACTCTGACGCTAGTTTTTTTTAGTCGATATAGATCTACAAGTAGAAAACAATAAAAATTTTCGTAATAAGTATGCTCTTAAACCACTTAGAATTCATCAGACCTCTAGCATTAAAATACTTTGCAGTCTAGCTTTATAGACCTCGATTGTTTTATAGAGCAACCTTTCTCTGTCTCTCGATTGTAGGTTATAACAATAATAACTTCATATGTACATCTATGCTAGATACAGACAGTCACACATAAATGTAAATATGCGTGTATAGTAAACAGAGTTATGGCTGAATCGGAGGAATTTATGATGAATAAGAGATGATAGGAGTGGATGCATATGACTGTGTGAGTAACAACTATATTTTCAATTCAAATTAAATACACACTTATTTAAGCCCATATTGGATAAAAATTAATTTACCTAACAGAACGTTTTTTGATTGTAGTCCGGCGAGCCAGTGATGCCAAACTATTGTGTTCGGCATCACCGTTCAGGTGATGATGATTTGTGTTTGTTAATAAGTGCGTTTGTGAGTTGGCACCACCATCGCCATTGGCTTCGTAGCTAATTGAACCCTGGCGCGATCCGCCTTTATCGAGAGCCGCCATATCAAGCAGGCAGTTGAAGAACGATTGTTTCTATTTTTCGTATATTTTTTTGAACAGTTTTGCGAATTGTTACCAAAAGAGATACGTTGCCACCATGTTTCATTTTGTATATTCATACATTATTATTTTTATTTATATATATATTTTTCGGATATTCATGTGTAGTTATTTTGTGATTTGTGATTTGTGGACGTAAAGTTCCGGGATGGATCCGAAGCATAAATGAATGTTTTGTTGTGTTTTTGGTACAGTGCGGTGCGGTGTGGCATTCCATGCGATTGGCAGCATTTTAGGTTGAGTTGTTGTTTGGTTGATTTACAAGTTTGTTCGCATTTTATACATATTACAATTTAAATTTTGTGATGAGTAATACGAGTATACAAATAGATTTGCGTGGTGACGTGTGTGGGTGAATTCGTTAAATTGGTGAAGTAGCAATAAGAAAAGTATTTTGAATTTTTTTGTTTTCATGATTAAAGGTATCAAAAAAGTAAATAAGATGAAAAATCATTAGGTTGCATTCAAAACAATAGTTTAAAGTATTTTTCAGATAAATATATAAATTCCTAGGCCTAAAAAGATAAAATGAGTATCGGACGTGAAAGTTTCTTCTGACTAGTTTTATTAGCTTTACACATAAATCATTGAACACAACTTTCTTTCAACTATTGCAAGCAATTATTTTTGTAAGTCATTATTTACAAAAATTGTTTTAGTTTTGTTTAAAAGAATATTATTTATGCATATGTACTAACTACATATATACTTTTTTATCCTTATGGATTTATGGTGAAATTTTAGAGTAGGAAAAACATGCTGATAGCACTAGAGCGCTGTTTAAGTATAAATTGGACTTAACTGTTTTCAAGTGTTTTCAGACAAACAATGTGAGTCACCAATAAGAAGAATATAGTTTCAAAAAACTAGAAAGTGCATGCTAAAATAAAGTGTTTAAGTATATAGATGTTTTTTACATGCAACTATGAGTAAATTAAAGTTAAAAATAATACTAATTGTAAACGCAAACTATTTGAATTGAAACTAATTATAAATATAGGACATCTTTGCTGGATTCCTTGCATTGCTGAAAGCCCCAATCGGTTGCCAAATTGTTTTTACTTTGCTATAAGCAGTAGTTCTATATATTTTTTGAATCTAGCCTTGTTATTGTATATATGTATATGTAGTCAACTAATTAGCGAACCTGTGTATTAGTTATTGTTTTCGAATACATACATAGTACAATTATAAGTAGAGATTCTTAGTATAGAACAATTCGAAAAATATGTAGACCATAGCAATATCTAAAGAAAATATGTTTACTAATGAACTGAATTATAAATTCACAAATATAACTATTAGGTGTAATATATGACTGTAAAAATATACAGTAGATATTTATTTTAGATGCAACAAAATTAAATAATTTTTTGTACAAATTTTCAACATTTAGTAGTAAAAATTTGAAAGTCTTAGTAGAATCGAACATAATAAATATAAACAAGTAAGGAAGTTCTAAGTTCGGGTGTAACCGAACATTTTATACCCTCGCAACTTGTAAGGATCAAAGCCGGGAAATTACTTCAGGTGTTGGCAAAATGTTATATAATATTAAAGGAAGTATTGATCCGATTCAACCCATTTTTGACACGAAAACATACTATTATCAAGAGTTTCATTTATTTATTGTATTATATGTATTTCAATTATATATCTTACACATTGACCGATATTTTCGGTAATCCTGGGGTCCACATACTCAGTACCTAGAGGCTTAAAAGGTTTGGTTCGATTTAGACAATTTTTAGATACAAGGTGTCATACTTTAAATGCATTATTCACACAAAGTTTTACCCCGGTACAATCATTGTTGCTTGATTTGCATAGTGCAAAGTGAAAGAATCAAATGGAATTTAAAGTGGTGTTATATGGGAAATAGGCGTGGTTGTAATCCGATTTTGCCCTTTCGTACTATAACATGGGAATATGAGAAGAATGTTATGTACCGAATTTGGTTGAAATTAGTTAAGCAGATCCCAAGACATGGGTTTTCACTTAAAATTGGGAGGTGTCATGCCCACTGTCTAATTTTGAACGCGGTTCCTATATAGTCATCTCATCCCATCCCAGAAATAAAATTCATTGTCTCTGGCGTGCTTGATTTATCGCGCTTTTAGTAGTTTTCAACAGTACCGGTATATGGGGAGTGGGCGGAGTTGCCTCCCGATTTCACCATCTTCACGTTGTCGATAGAGGTGCTAAAAACATTTGTTCCCAGTGAATTTAGTTATTATAGTTTGAGCGGTTTAGGGAATATGCACATTAAACCTATCAGGGGCGAGACCACGGCCACTTTTGAAAAAAAATTTAACTGAAAATGCCCCACCCTAATGTGATCCTGTATACAAAATAACAGTCCTTTATCTTATTGTGTAGCTTAGTTATGGCAAGTTACGTATTTTTAGGTGAACAAAACTATTATACTCTATAGCAGCAGGTTGCGAGAGTATAAAAAAATTCATAATAATCACACGGTTCGAATATATTTCATTTGTTTTAATTAAACTTTATTTCTCAATAGAAAATTAATTTTTAAATATATTTATAGAGTGCAAGCTATAGAACGCTTTAGCGGTCCGATATTTTTTTATAATTTATATATATATGTATATGCTCGAAAACGGTCAAATTCTTTTTTTTAAATGGTTTTTAGCTTTCGTGGAGTAGAGTATGAACGACTTTCAAGGTTGCAACTAATTCTCATTTAAGAAAGATCCAATGAGATATGCTCACTTGATCAAAAGAAAGAAGTAAAATAATGGGGGTACATAACGCAACAAACGATCGTTTAACAATTCACAACGCAATATATTATTTGTATAGGCTTTAGGCTTAAAGTACACTTTGGGGTCGTAAAAATATTATTCAATTGGTAGAACACTGAAAAAAAATTCCTTGTTCAACCCATCGGACCATCACAAGTATTCCTTTCAAATTTTGGATTATGATCTCGTTTTTTTTTTACTTTGTTTCAGAATGCAATACCCAACTGACCTAACCTCTTAAAAAGATAACTCACTTGGCTTTGCAAACCAACTGTACAAGTTATATGTAATGACCAATTCCGGATTCTCTACCAAAAAGGTTACTTTCGTAACTTAATTTATCTGCTTTGGAAAGAATTTGAGTATAATATAGTTATATACACATATTAAAAAATATCAAAAATTTTTCTGTTTATTCAAAAAATACGAAATAGGTATATGTTGGTGATATATTTAAATATTTGGTCTTTAGTAGTGAGTAAAAGTAGAATCCTTTAAGTTTGTAAGAAATACTAAATATTGTGTTTGTATTAGTGTTATCTATTTATTATTGATGTGCATTCAAATGTGCTTGAAAATTTTTTTTAATTTCACACGCAAAATATCTATCTATATAAATATATACTTATATACATATATTTGTTGTTTTTTATTTGGCCGATTCGGTAAATAATAGTAAACCACAAATTTTGTAGTATTCAAAATTCAAAGTTTTCATTGTTTTGATTCCAGAACTTGAAAATATTTTGCGTTGAAACAGACTTTCCGAGCTAGGTATACATATGTGCAGATAATAATAAAGGGTATAAAATGAAAAAAAGTTTTGTATATACATATGTAGGAATGTACATTGCTTAAGGCAATTTATGCTTCCTTGATCATTTGTGTGTTTACTATACAAGTATGTGTATGGCCCGAGCACAGTCGCCACAAGTACGCAAGCAAAATGCAAGTGGAAGTTTTCTTGGTAAAGGGGACACGATTCAATTTAAGAAGCAGTTTAAAGTAAGAAGCGTAGCAGAATCTATTCGAAGAAATGTATATGCATATAAATATATAGATATTTTATTAAAGAGAACACTTTATTTTTAAAATGTAAAAAGGGGCAATTATTTATATATAATTTCTTAAGACATCGATTTTTGAGGTTGCTGGCATATATGCGTATAAGTATAGTAGGGTAAGTATGTAAGTGTTTACTAAGCATATAAATAATTAGCAAAACGTTTAGAAAAGGTATATTTTCAGTATGGCTACTTAGTATATATGCGGGAGTTATTCATATTGGGAAAACAAATGTATATACACAAAGCTCTAAAAAATTCATAGTTCTATGAAGATGAAGAGACTTGAAAAGACCATTGGTCAATGTATGTACCGGCTGATCGTCGGCTGTTGGACTTGGTATGCGTTCTTCGTCATCAGTTTGGCGCTTTTTCCGCTGAATATTTGAAACGTAGTTTCAAAATTTAACATTTTTATTAATTCGATGAATATTGTGCACAAATTTTTCATACAGGAAAGAGTATTTGGGTGCGGCATATTTTGTATACGGTATCGATTGATTTCGCGATGTAAATTTTATGCGATAAAAGAACACATAAAACACAATTGCAGTATTAATTCAATGGTTAACTTCAAGTTCTAATTTATACGCTACTAATAACATACTAGAACAAAACTAAAAAATTTAAAACAGTTTTGAAAACAGAATACTTTTCGACAAATAAATATTTACAAATAACTTTACCTATTCAATTATAACGCGAAAATTATTGTAATTTTCTTAAATTATTCAACTTAATTATTTTTAACGAATAGTTCCCATGTAAGTTACTAGAAAATCAGATAATATTATATACATATAAAGTAATTCTACAAATAGTAGTTTTTATTTTACTTGTAACGCTGTGCATTATAAAAAATATTTCGGTAAATTACTTTGCTATGGTCATTAAGTACAGAAATAACATACATTATACGGAATAATAATAACGAAACCTAAAGAATTGGGTTATCTGCAGAAGTGTATTAAAAGAACAACCAACCCTACTATTTGTAACGGAAACATTTCAAAATTCTTAACGGTTTAACGTAAAAACATATAATATTATATAAAATTGTTAGGCGTTGGAATTGTAAACTCTGAACTGAAAAATGCATATTTCTTGATGTATTTGTATATGTTAGTATATACCTCCTTCCAATTCTGCATTTTTAAAATGTGTTTACACATTTTACATACAAGTGAGTGAAAAGAAATGTTTTGCATTATACAATTATCGAAAATATATATATTTTTATGTTTTTTTATATTTTTTATGTTTTTACTTTGATATAACTAATTTTAATTGCCTTGATTGTTGATAATATACTAAATTTCAAATAGTGCATTTATTTTGTTCAATATATATTCACTACCTAACATAGTATATACATTGGGTGGCAAACGTCAACTGGTGACTTCAGAAGAAATACTTAATTATGTACATATCAAATTGTCGTTGGGTAAAGTGAAGTGCTCTTCAAATATCAAGATCCTCTAATTTCTTGTAAGATTTTTTTTTGTATATGTTATAACTGAATCGTTTAGTTCAATTAATTGAGTAATAACAGCTTTTGATAGGCTTCTTTTGTTTGAAATTAGTACTTGATAAAGTCGAAATACATACTTGTATGTATACTGACGAAAAGGGTGCGTCATATCTATGTCGATTTGTAAACATTGAATAGCTATAGAATAAACAACATGGATTTCTAATTTATTTTGTTCCAATAAATAAATGAACCGAGAGCATTAGAAATCATGTGTGTCCATCTCTTTTTGTTATCTGTAACAAGGAATTCTTATAAAAGATTAATATTTTGATTCGTAGTCTCATTTGACATGGCGGACAGTCTTATATAAAAAAGTATTTTCAAAATGTGCCAAATCAACACAAAAGATAGTAAATTTCGAAGTTTTTCGATGTTTAAGAACTAAGATAGAAGATTGAGAATCCTGTAATTCTTTTCATTTCCTCTATTTTGCGCACTTGACAAATAATCAATATAATTTATCAAAAAGTTTTTCAAGTAAAAAGCGCAGCGCTTTATTCCACACTGCCAGAACTCTTATTGTTTTTGGTTATCAGTAAGGAGACGACGGTTTCACGCGTCAAACGAAAATGTTGGATAAACGTATTATCACTTCATGAAATTCCTAACATCTCGTAAATTCCTTAAGTGGGTTCCAAGCCGTATTTTAGTAACTTCTTTCTTCGTCTAACAAAAACTATAAAAGTAAATTAACTTCCATTCTAGCAAATCGATTTCACAACTAGGCATAAAAAGTAAAACAAATGTTTTATGAATTGGTAAAAAGTACTGCCAAGTGTATTTGACATCTTGAAAATTCATCAAGAAAAGAGCTTTTTGAGTTACGACACAGAATAGAAAAATCTTGATAAATTGTCAATCTTGACAAATTAGAAATTTCTTCAATTTCTCAAGTGCACAAAATAGGGGTGTATATCTCAGGTTATTTCCTCTTTCTATTTACAAAGCTACCATAAAAAATAAACGCGCTCTTGATGATAAGATTTAGCTTTTACTGTAAATTCAAGCACAGACCATAGTTAGCAATTGATTAGTAAATATTTATTTATACGAAAATTGAAATCTTGAAGATGCGTAATATTATATGAAGATATTTTCTAAAAATATACTACATATATTTACACATTGGGGGCAAACGATCAATTGATATTCAAACAGCTCACACCTCCAACTTATTTTAGTTGAGAAATCTTACATATTTTATGTTCCTATAGAAAATAAACGTAATTCTAGAAAATAATCGAACCAATAATTTCAGAAATAAATTACATAAACAAAAAAAGTTTAAAAAATATGTTTGTAATTAATTTTGGGTCAATGTTTAGTTTTTGTTTGTGATTTTTTTTGTGAATCTAAATATTTACAGTCGCTTAAAGTTAAACGGCCCTGAACATTTTCCTACTTACATAGTCTGTTAGGCGAAAATTGCATTTTTAATATATACCCCCGTGCCCTAATTGCTATTATATACGGATACATGTGTATAATATATTAGATATGCGAATTTCGAATTTTACCGGTTTTATAAAAAAAATATACATATCCTGTAATAAAATTAAATTTTGATTGCAATAACTTACCGGCATGCCGGAATCGATTTGTCCGAACCGCGTCGTACGCCACGACTCCAAAATCAAAAGACCGGCGTACACTTTTCCAACTGATAGCTTTCCTTTATTCAATTGGTCTATGGGTGGTACAAGCAAATCTAACATTTTCTTCGCTTGCAAAGGCCAAATATTCGTTATGGTTTCCCTAAGTTCCATATCCGCTTGATCCATTTCCTCCGCTGTAGGTACAGTACATGATTTAAGGAATTTATTAAAGCATATTTCGTACAAAATTATCCTTGAATTTTAATTAAAATAAAGAGATTTATCTGACAGAATACAAGATATCGTGACGTCAGTTTGGCAATAAAAACTTTTGAAATGTATTCTATAAAATTTTATATTATTAATATACTATCGGTACCATATACTTATATTATATTATATGATCCATATGTCAGGTACCGATATCAGCATACAACTTGTATTCTCTCATTTGTGCAGAGGACTCACCAGATCGCATCTTAATGCTCAAATTTTCGCGTATCAACGCAAAAAGCGTCGTTGTAAATTGTACTCTCATTTCGTCATCTAACGGCATATTCATACGTATTAGTTTCTTATAGGCGAGGCGATTGGGACATTTGTTACCGAACCCCAACGGAGGATCCATATTTTTTAACATATCATACATTTCCGTATAATGTATTCTACCACTACGATTTCGTTTTCAATTTGTTATTTTTGTTTCAATTGACGTGATTTTTCAATTCAGTTTCGGTTTGAATGGATCAGTTTGATGTGTTTTGAATTCGTAAAAAGCATATAAGTAAGAAAAGTTATTAATTTCTTTGGAGTAACAATTTCGTTGTATTTTCAATACGAAAGTACGAAAGATTTACAAAATACTTGAAAACAGAAACGTATATCATATATACATTTTATGCTTACGACTACTAAGCGTTTAAAAATACAAGAGATATAAACAGCGAAATGTATTTCAAGAACAAATATTTATACAAACAAAAAATATAATAATTATGGCAGCTGCGAGTTAATTGCAAATAAGCATATTTGAAATGGCAATGAGCTTTGGTTTGCTAAGTGACCATCAGCGCCAAAAAGCTCCACATAGCGATGTGTATACATAAACCGAGGGTGAAAGCTTCGTCGAAAGCCGATAAGCCTTAATAAAAAAAGGATTAGCACCTCTATACTGCATATATTCTATGTTTTAGCAACTGAGCGTAAGTAACGAAATTCAATTTACTTAATAAAAAAATACTTTTAAAAATATATAGACTTAGAAATAAGTGTATACACAAAGTAGTAAGCTTTTTAGAAATATTTATTATAATATTAAAGTATACTATCATTACTTTTAGGTATTTTATGCATGTTTAGTGAAGGGTAATACTTCAGAATCTCTTGTTTGAAGTACATATATTTTTCTTTCTCACACAAATGCATAACAGTAAAGCCATTTGTCTCTGCACTTAATTTTCAATATGAAACAAATACGAACAAGTAATAATCATTTAATATAGAGTAAGGGCTTGCCCAAGCTCTGCAGTAGGCATGATTATTAAAAAAGGAATAAAACAAAATAACCTTGGGAGATGATATGCATATATATGAATTTTAATACAAAAGTTAATAACTATGTTTGTAAAAATTATTTAAATAAAACCACAAGTGAGTTCATGACTAATATGAGATTTTTCGGAAGTTCAAAACCTCAATTATTGTTTAACCTTTGGCGACATCACAGCGAAACGGTAAACATAGAATTTTGCAGTTATCAGAAGATTTATCTGTTGTATCAGAAAACTTTATTAGGAGTACTGCAAACAATTTGAACGACCCGATTACTTTCCTTTCGGATTTATCCTATGATGATCTTTAAGCACAACGTTATCGTATCGCTCAAAAACAGAACTCATAACAAAACTAAGTAAATTAAGTACTACTTACACGATTTACTTATGAGGTAAATAAATTCCAAGGATTTGACTTATAATAAGTTAGGTTATTAAAAATTGGTAAAGGCGGAAGGGAAACTTAAACTTATTATTACAGGGTTCACTTTTATACTTATAACGGCTTCAAGGAAAATGAGCCCACTTGGAAAGTAATAAATATAACATTTGGCACTTTTCTATTGCCTTTTCTTCGTGGAAAAACATAAAATTGAATTGTTTGAAAACCATTTTTCACCGATAATCTTGCAACCATATGGCAACTGAACTTAAACATTGAAGCCATCTTTTGTATGAAACTGAAATGTTTGGTACTTATTTAACAACATTTAGGTGCAGAGAAATACTCATATTAAAAAGTCGAAATAAGTTATGAATAATAACAAAATGACAGTGAGAATTGGTACAAAATTCGAAACTACAAAACATAACAAAAGTTAAGAAACACAGTAGTATCGTAAATAAATAAACGTACAAATATGTACTCTTTCAACAAATATATGTATGTTGGTTTAATCAATACTATTTTTTTTTATGTTATGAACAGAAGTTGTCAACTGTACACAAAAACAGTAAATGAAATATAGATAAATACACATAGATATATTAAATTGATAATTACGTCGCATTTGGATCATATTCAGCCCATATACGAACGAACTCGTCCAAATGATGGGCACCCAATATACTGGAGTCTCTTGTAAGATAATCAAAATTATCCATAATAACGGCAACGAATAAATTCAACATGAGGAATGAGCAAAAGAATATAAATGATACAAAATATGCATATGCCAGCGTTGACCCGCATGTTTCGTTGCCTTTGTCGGCCTCTTCATCGCATGGCCTCCCCTTAAGGCACGCCAGCATAATGTTCGGCCACGCCTCGCCAGTTGCACATCTATAAAGATTATTCCAAAAATATTAGCACTGTGCGCTATCTAAGTATATAACAAGAAATCGTCTATCAATCTACATACTTATAGTATGCTACAATACATTGTGGTTGTTTATACGACTAGAAAGATATATGTAGGTATTGCTATTAATATTCTAATTATATGCATAAAACAACAATAACTTTTATAAAATATATACATACAAAATGTTGTTTATTTATTTGATTTTTATTCCGTAATGAGTGTGTGTGTGGTCAACTGTTCTAATATTTAAAAAACTGCGGACTAAGTTCCAGCTGTGGCAATGAAAAAAATATACTTATATCCTTTTCCAATTTTCAATATCAGCAGTATCAAAATATCACATATGTTATTTAAGAGGGATTCTACTCTAGAAATAAAAAAAATCGTTTTTCTTTTCTTTATATTTTCAAAGTTTAACAATTCAAGAAAATGTTTACTAGAGAATTTTTCAAAATTCAAATTATTTTCGGAGATATAAAAATTATATCGGATATAGGTATACGGAGACGCGAAATTTTAAACACGTTTATATCGAAACTGTCGTTTTCAAAACGATACCAACGATTTCTTAGATCTTACTGGACCGATATACCTGAAATTTTAAGAAAGTCTTCTTTATAAATATGTCTATGTCCGAAACTAACCATATCACCAAATTTCGATTTTTACTATTTTTAAAAAATTTGAAACAGTCAAGTGTGTTTAAAAAATGTTTTTTTTTTCCAGGCAGTCACGCATTATTCTAGATTAAGAATATTTTATTTTAGTTGTAGTAGGAGGGTTGAAATCGTGCGTATGATCACGTGCCAATCTTTTGAGACCCCGCCCTTCATCAGCTGTTAACTAAAATTCATACTCTAGAATACCCCGTTAATTATGGAAATTGATAATTTTGTCATAGTATCCACATTTCTATACGATTTTTGTCTTCTATGTAATAGCTTCAATATTAAATTTAAAGAATTAAACTAAGCGCGCAGCTACTTATTCTGCTGGCTATATAACGTTGCTATATGTAATATAAGCCGTCTTCGATTCGCCATTTCTCAGCTCGCTTCAGCTCTCTTTGAAAAAAAGAAATACATGTAAAATCAACAACAAAGTTATCGAGTTGAATTCGTGCAAGAGAGTAAGCGGATACCTCATTAAAGTGGTCTAGTCGCTATCTTCAATGGTACCAAGTTTTGTTTTGCAAATCTTAGATCAGTTTTACTATTGTCAATGGTTCAAATGGCAAATGAAAATACAAATATATTACATCTTTCTAGTATTTTTAAAACAAAAGACTTAAAATCAATTATAATAATTTATAGAAAACCAAAATAAAGGGTTAAAACAACAATTAAAAAATTTCTCCACTAAGAAAGAATCAGAACACTTTTGCGCATGCGTCGTGAGACATTTTATCGCAGAGTTGGTGTGCTTTTAACACAGACTCTTTTGTAACCCAAACCGGTTTATTGTTGACGAGGGGACAACGAGGAAAGACGAAGGGACCGTGCCACTCGTATTTGGGTGGCACGCTTTGTGTTCTTGTTCGTAACAGCTCGCTGCTACCCTTTTCAGCATTCCTTTTCACTTTCAAATTCTTTGAACTGTTGCAAGAGCGCTCGGTTCCAAATGAATTCGTTCACAAATTCTGTTATCTATATTTTGTATGTAATATGCAAATATGTATGCATAGAATAATAGAAATATTTTGAAAAATTGTAAATAAGGAGAAAATTCAGATACCCAAAAATATTCAATTTTCATTTTTAATAACATATAGCGGTATTAAATGTAATATGTACCAGTAAACATAAAAGAATTCTAATCAAAATGGTAACTTTACTTTTTTATATTAACATAAAATATTAAGATGCTTTCATATTTATTTCTTTTAGCCGCAAAGGAGTTAGTTGGAATATTATTTTATTTAAGATGAGAATTGTAATTAATTCAAGGATGTTTTATAATAAATAGACAAAAATATGGAGTAAAGAAATTATGAATTCTTAATACTTAAATATTAGGAAATTCCTGTTATAAATTTGGCCTTGAAAATATTAGTAGCGGATATTCAATACATTCTGGGGGATTAGGGAATCCCCGTCTTAAGTATTTCTTTGAAACTATTAAGCGGATAGGTATTATGCATATTGTTCTACCATATTCATGGTAATTCATTGCAAGAAAAATGTGAGACCATCATCCCAACATACAAATGAAATATGTAACACGCTCTAAGTGTTGCGCAGTCGAACCGCACAAATATTTTCGAAAATTTAATGAAAAGGAATGACAGAAAACTCGATTTAAGTTGCTGGACTCTTTTTGCTCGTGTGAACGCACAGAGCGACACCAAAAGAAAATTTGCCAAAAATGAGGGTCAAAAGAGTCCCAATGTAAAAGCACACTTGCAAAACAAGTACTGTTCGTTTGTTTGAGCATCTGGCAGAGTTTGTTCGATTTGCTACTCTCCAACGCTTGGCGAATCGAAGACAACTATAATTAACTACCTGAATTTGAACGTAAATTTGGCGTAACTAGAGGTGTCTGTGTAAGCATTGCTTGGTATATCTTTATTCTTTAGCTGTGTACAATATAAATAATGGTAATAAAATTTTGCATTATTAGTTAAAATATCATAAAGAAAATCCTGAAAGAGGGTAGCAAACAATGGTTGATAGGTCCTATATTTGGCGGATTTCAAGGTCCTTTCATAACAATGTGGACATTACGCCGTTTATTAAATCGTTGTGGATTCTTTCGAATTTTGTTTTTATTAATAATTATTCGTTAATTACACTATAAACTTTTATCTAATATATATGAGTGTACTTTCTTTAATTTTACTATTTATCGACTTTGTTTTGTGAGTTAATCAGTTCTGTCGGTATAAATATTATTACTAAATACACGTATAGCATACAACTATTAATTTTTAAATATGTCTGTATAAAATTTGTTTACTTGATGAAAACCACAACAAATGAACTTTACTTTTTTGTACCTGTGTAAATTTTGTGTGTGTTTTTAAGTATATTTGCTATTTATTGAATATAGTTAACAAACACCAGTGCAGTAAAATCTATTAACTGGGAACTGTAGGATTGAACTCTAAAAAATTGCAAGCACAAGAAAATAATAAATTTCTAAATGAGCATGTGTATAGAATGTCTATAAGTGTATTTATGTTGCTTTATTTTTGGCAAACAAATTGTCATACTTGATCAACTATTTTATATGAGTATAAAGAAAAATACAAAAAGCACAAATTTGAAAGAGTTAACAAATATTTGGACAAAATCCCAGTTGTTTTTGAATGATATATATAAAAGTTAAAAGCAATTGTTATCATTACAAGAAATTATATTTTATTTAATTAATTTATTAAGACCGTTAAATTTACTATTATAATTAATGTTAACTAATTATTCTTGAAATATTTAATTTAATTCCAAAAAACTTATAATTAAATTCAATCGAAAAATGTATGTTTCTCATCTTAAAATTATTATTTTCAGAAACGATTAAATCTATGATGAAACTATTTGTTAAACTTGTCACAGCGATTATTAAATCTGGGTGATCAATAAAATCAGCAATTTAATTGAGGCGAGAGATTTTAAAAATTTCGGTAAAACTCTTAAAAATCCGAACAGATTCTATTCGATATCGAAATAATTTACACATCATTCTTAGATATCATTATCTTGGAATCTTTTATAATATAACCAATTTACTTTGATTTATTGTATTAAATTCCAAGCTGCTGACGAAAATAAAACTACAGTTTCTGAAGAGAGAAAATTGTGGTGTTCGCTATCATTAAGCTTCATAGCAGCATTATACAGTATGCCTCACCGTAAATAAGTTGGAGTTTGGTCAAAAGACACCGAATTTATATATACCGCATAGTAAAAGTCTGATGTAAAGTTTGATAGGTTAGATGCACTACAAGAATTCATCAGGCATTAATAACAACTGGCTGATTAATTTTGCTCTGACTCTGCAATGACTTTGATTTAACTGAGTAGGGTTGCAAAAAATTACAATAAATGAGAGAACGCTATCTTTCGAGCTTAAGGGAGCCTTTGAAAAAAGGAATATTCACTATAAATTCTATGATAATTGCTTACATAAAAAAACGGAATGTAAGATGCCATTTGACATTAAAAGTATATAAAAACTTACTTTAGAATACATAGGTATATAAAGACTATTGGAAATAAACCCTATCGAAATGAGCTCATTAATAGTAAACGGGGTATTATATTTTATACTGGGGGTATACAATTTATACTAATTTGTTCTTGAACAAATCTGCAAATAAAAATATTTCAATTTAAAAGTTTGATTTTTACCGAATTTATCTAAATAATCGCCATTATTTGTACGCTTTTGAATATTTCCAGGGATTTTGTCCACTCACTAAATGCCTTAGATGTAGGAACATACGTACGAGTATATGATATGTGGGTATAATATAGTTGCATTAATCCTTGAGATTATGTATTCACCTATCTATATCTATCTTTAACAATTTTAATAAGAAATCGTTCTAGTTTTTATAATTTCACATTGATTTTCATATATATCTGAAAGTATATATATAGTGTCGCTAGAAAATTTTAAGAGGCACTAAGAATTGTATAAAATTATTATTTTTTGTTTTGTTTATAATGTTCATTATATTTTTGTAATCGTTAAACGTTTAGAAAAAAGAGTCCAGCGAAACTAGATTTACATACCTGAATAGCAACATGACGCCTTGTATAAATGATTGGAAGTTGTTGTGCCTAGTAATGGTATTATCCATTGTATCTAGTTTGATATTCCCAAACACCTATGCATGTAGCGAATGTGATTTAATTTTAATAAAAAATCAGTTTTTGTTCTACTATTGTTTGTTTTTTTTTTTTTTTTTGTAGAAGAAATGAAAAAAAGATGGTGATACATAAACTGGAAAATTATGAACAAACTCAAACTAAAAGAATTACATAACAAACAATCAATATAAGTACGAAAAAATACTCGAATTTTATTTAACTGTTATCGTTTTATTACTTCTTTAAATTTGGCAGTAAAAGAAATTATGTTTGGAATACAATTGGTTTGTCATGAAACTGTTTTATGTTCGTGTTTGTATGTTGGTCGACACTTTGTACGAAAACCAAATAATTAAGTAAAACGTTCTAAGCTTTCTACTGCATAAATCATGTATAGAAAACTGAAACTGCTTACAAATTACATTTTTAGTGGGGTTAGAAATACTTGAAACAGAAAACTGGGTAAAAGTGGGGATGTGAATATAGTAAGCACAAAATGTGTTTACGATCGTGACACAGCCCCGGTGAGAAATTCAAACAGCATTTAATTTCAACAATTACTACAAATATTCTTCGTGATTTTAGCAAATTATGTTGAAGGGTGGATTTGTACAAACATTATAAAGGTTTATGATTGTGATGGCGGTTTCTCCGTGTGTGTGAGTATGATAGAATTTCAGAGTGTATTAAATACCTCCATCGAACTTTCCAAACACTCTTGACAATGTGTTATACTACAGATATGTATGTATATTATATTTACTTTGCTTTTACAGTTAGTTTTAACGTTAGTTTAATGTTAAAAACAAATATTCATCTACTATTGTACGAAACGATTTTAACTTATTTGCAACACTTAATGGTTTTTGTTTCTAAATTATATGCTTCATATGTTTGTGGTAGTGTTTTTACAGCTTCCTAATCAATATATGTATTTATATACATAAAATGGAATGAACAGAACTTTTTCAAAAGTCGTTTTATAAATTTAAAACTGCATATAAATATTAGTTTAATGACATTCCTCAAACAACAACTCGATCAGAGTAACGAACAAATTAACTCTATTCGATATATATAAATATATATATGTATATATTTGTATACTTGTGTACTAGCTACTGTAAATACTAAACTAACCCCCAAAGGAATTTGTTTTGCAATGTATTTGTATGCATGGTCTAGTATATATGTATGTGAGAACTCTTGAATTATATATTGTAGGTTTTAAGTATGCAATAAAAATTACTGTTGTAATGTTTTTTTTTTTATTTTCGTTCAAAACAACGCCAACACTATTCAAAAGAGCAACGGCAACAAATACAAATATCATATAGTATGTACTTATATGCAAATATTATAAATAGTAAATATTAGTTATACGAGTATATGTAATATATACGAATTTTTAAGTAACTTTACTTGTAAACAATATTACTTGTAATAAATAATTACTTTGTTTGGCAATACTTGTTTTAAGTCAACATTGTTTTTGTTTACCGAAAAAGCAGCATGATTCCACCGGAGAATGATTGAAAATTATTGTGACGGTTGAGTTGCGTATCCGGATCATATTTAATATTTCCAAAAACCTTTAAATTACGCACATTTAACCATTTCGTTTTCGGTTTAACGATTAATTCATTTTAGTTTTTTTTGTTTGGTTTTTGTTCGTCATATTTATTTGATTTGTATTTGCAATAATTGTTAGTAATTTGAGCGTTGACATATCATTTTCAGTTTGGTAATCGTTATTTAGTATTTGTACAATATATAAATATAAATATAACAAAAGATTATTAATCATGTTATCAGTATTGAGATGAAATCCTATGCTATAAAGATACTGCTAACTACTTGCTCTACTAGTTAATATGCACGCTCTCGATTTTTCATCAACATCATCAACCAATGGGACACTTACACTACTTATGTTTTCGAAATCAATTATTTGTTGCCAATTTCAAACGCAGTTATGTCAGCGCTTCTATTTTAGTTGATGAAACTACCGAGTAACGCAAGAATAATAATATATTTAAAACGCTACGAGAATTTCCAAAATAATGGAAAAGGCTAGAATGATTTGTGGCTGGAAAAACAAAGGTTTTGTTAAGAGTTTTAAGAAAACTGCTTAAAGTATATCAATTAACCCAACAGCTAATTTTATTTATAACCACGTGTCAAAAGAATGTCAGTCAGGTAGGATGCAAATACTGCAGCATAATGTCTACACTTATACCCTTTAACCACAGAGCATTGAAAAAAAGTGAAGCGTTTTTCGAGTTCCGTTTTAAATTGCTGAGTTGAGTTTCTTATCAGTATGCTGGATAGTTTATATCTTAATCAATTATCAATAAGTATTTGCTACTAAAATTAAACTCATATTTTTAAAAATTAAAACTCAGCTGTCCGAAAATTGGTTTATGGGATATACAGTGAGTCATTTAAGTGTTAAAAATTTGAAACAAAATTTTAACAAGTAAGGTAAGTAAAAACTTTGACTTGTTCGGGTGTAACCTAACATTTTATAATCTCGCAAGTTGCAATGATCAAAGTCGGGTAAATACCTTTAGGTGTTGGCAAAACCGGACCAACGAACCGCGGTACAGACGGACGAACAGACAGTCGCTCGATATTCAACTCGTCTTGTCATCTTGATCATTTATATACCTATATGTACCTATATCTATTTCGATTGGGTTTAGGTGTTACAAACAACTGTTAGGGGAACAAAACTATTATACTCTGTATCAAGATGTTGCGAGAGTATAAAAAAGGTATATCGTGAATAATGAAAAAATATTTCTTTGAAAAAAAATTGTTTGCGCATACCAAAAAATGTTCGTTATATTTGGCATAGGCCACATGTGCAGCAAAGAAAATGAACCCAGTAGATACCCGTAAAATTAGTGCTTTATACTGAATCTACTTTTGAATTCTAGATCTAAGCTAAGATATACATTGCCTTTTATATTTCGGGATTTGGAAACCCTAGTGTTGCAATCTACCAACTCACAACTTTATAGTATAGTTTATTTTTGTTGTTATACATACTTAGAATGTTTTGACATACGAGCACTATTTGTGTTGTTTACAGTAAATTAAAATATTCATCTCGGCCAATAAATGGAATTATGTAAATCGCGAACATTTTCACTCGATTATTTTTTACAACTTTCGATGTGGATTAACTTAGCGTCGTCCAAAATCAGTTGTTGTTCCGGAAACTATTGATACTGTGCGCCAACTGATATTGCAAGATGGTCATATAGGCATTAGCGGGGCCAGCATATATTCGATATTGCATGAACATTTGACCGTAAAAAAAAAATTGTTGACGTTGGATCCCACACAATTTGTCAATGGCTCAAAAAACGGATCAATGGCTCAAGAAAAACAATAAAGCGGTTTTTGATGATTAATGTTTGTTTTTGTTCCCTTATCACGAAATATAAAAAACAACCCTCGTAGTAAGTCCCAGTTGGTCTGAATTCTTTTGAAATTTGGCAATTATTATTGGTAATACCATACTCATATGCTGAAATTAAACACGTGTTCCACGCAATGAAAGCAAAATTTTAAACAGTTCGACATTCACGTTGAAACTGCTGAAGAAATAGACTTTCAAATTATTTTGTAATATACGAGTACATTTTAAATGTATGGAGGCTAATTATTATATAGATTCTATTTTGTAATATTATAGTAATATATCAGTAAGAATTATGTAACAAAATGTTATGATAATTAAGATTGATATTTAGTTGTGATCTTCAATATTATGTATTTTATATTGTTAAAAGCGTTATTACACTGAAAATTTTCCACGAAGTTTGTAACACCAAGAAGGAAACGTCGGAGACCCTATAAAATATATACATAAATGATCAGCAATATGAGCTGAGTTGATTTAGCCATGTCCGTCTGTCCGTCTGTCTGTATACAAGTATATACAATCTAGTAACTCAGTTTTTAAGCTATCGATCTTTAAGCTATCTGATCTATTTCTTACGAAGAAGCTGCTTATTTGTCAGGACGGCCGATATCGGACCACTATAGCATATAGCTTCCATATAAATTGAACGATCGAAATAATGTTCTTGTAAGGGGACTTTGTATTTGTGAAGGGTATTATAGCTTCGGTGCAACCGAAGTTAACGTTTTTTCTTGTCGTAGTTGTTAAATACGAAGGGTTTGAAATTTAATTTAAGAAAATTTAATTTGCTTGTTTGTGTTTTGTTCAAATACGATCTTTTTTCAAGTTTTTGCGCTTTTTGAAATTTAAAAGTGGGCCACTATGGCTCCGTGACTCAAATCTGTGACAGCAATGTAAATTTTATTTCGAATCTACTGTGTTTTTTAAATCTGCTCCGAGTGAGTGTTCACTTTTTCAGATTTTTTTACTCGAAGAAACTAAGGCATGCTATAAAGCCAAATGCCAACCACACAATCGAAATTTTGATACAAAAAATTTAATTTTCTTTAAAACGATACGAACTTTTCAGCCCACTTGTTATGTACATAGTTGCCTACGTCAGCGCTCTGCTCTTTCAACGCTTTTATAAATAAATAGTTTTGTAAATTAAAGCTATCAGGATTTTGTAATATGAGCTTTTACTTAAACTTAGTAAACTTTATTTTATAAACAAGAACAAATATTAGTAGAAAGTTGTAAGCAGTAGGGAATTCATGAAATTCCCATCGCGCCCCCTGATATTCGTTTTTTATAAATGAGTTATATAATATCTATTAACAAAACCTTTACTCAAACGTTTTTCTAAATCTACTTCAATAAAGGATGTATCCATAATCATTTAAAAACATGACGAAATGATGTCAGCTATTTCTTGCATTTTCACTAACCCACCACGTACGATATAAAAAATAAACTGATCTAACCACCCACATTGGTAATAAAAAAATGTACAAGTTATATGATTTATATTACGAAAATTTCAAATAAAAACAAAGTAAGAAAAAGAATCAGAAATTCAAAAAATTATACGCAAAAAATTTTATGAAATAGTCAAGTATTTTCAATAAATAAATAGAAATAATTTCTTAAAGGCGGTAAGTACTTTTTAGATTTTGTTGTTATGTTTTGATGATATTTCATGTTTTCATTTCACACTTACCTGCATTCCAATAATAGCATAAATAAAAAAGAGCATGGCTATTAACAAACAGACATATGGAAGTGCTTTGAACGATTGTACAAATGTCCACAACAGGATTCGTATCGTGTATCCTTGACGGAGTAATTTTATGAGACGCGCCGCACGAAATAAACGCAGGAAGCCAACGTTGATTGAGTTCGACTGTAAAATATATTTGGTCAAGAAATGAAAGAAACAAACAGAACACAATTAGCGAGCACTTTTTTCTGAATTTGTGTAACGTTTTTATTAGTCAGGCAGTGTGGTAGTTGTTCTTGGTAATTTTCTTCTTTTCAGCAAAATACTTTTATTATTATTTTTTGTTTTTAACTATATGAGGGGTTAGTTAAATACGTATTGATTTAAACTGATTTAGAAGTGGTAAAGGAGTTGTACGTACAAAATTTTGTAAAATTGTTAATCATACGTTCTTTAAGTAAAGGGGTTAATTTGGAATGCTAATAAAAAGGTGAAATAATGATCAAGACATTACGAGTAAAAGTTTCAAATTTTGACATAACTTAGATTAAAAAAAAATATATAATAATTTTAAAAATTTACACACCAATTACACGATATATTCGCTATTTAGAAGTAATGTAACAAAGTCAGTGTGAATATGATGTTAGTAGACATTCCCAAAAATAAATGTGTAGTCAGAATTTTGTAATTTTGTACAAATGCCAAATTCGCTCTTATTTATACATACGTTTATGAAATATATATAAAAAAATACTTTCAGTAAAATAGAAAAAATCGCACACCGAATCTTTATATTTTCAAAATGCCAAATTATGCGAAAACTAAAGGAGCTATAGTATAAAAAGCCGATACGTAAAATATTACAACATAAGGAAAGTCGTGTTCTAGAATACCTAAGTGTGTCGTATGGGTGATATTAAACCAATTTGAAGGTCTGATTGTCACACTAATTCAATTTTTAAGTTACAGCCCGTTAATAGTATAATTTCCATACACGCAAACAGGCGGGTACAGTGCAATGTATTGCGTCTTTGACCAAAATATTTTACGCACAGACTTTCCGTGTCTACCATAGATTTGTATCTACTGTATACCCGCAGCTGCCAGCACACTTTTGACTGACTCCACATACATACATACGGCTAGGTGGGTATGGCTTAGTAGAGCAAGTATTTATGGTAGCACGAAACAGAATCCGTGACACGACGTGTACCGCCTCGCAGTGGCTTCTTTGGCGTCACTGCTGTGCGCATGCAACCCTGCGACTTTCAACCAGAAATCACTCTTATGTAATTTTGATTGCAAGTGACGTATAGCGCCATTGTTGCTGAGCTGCTTGCCTTGTGGTTTCTCTTAAAGCTGCTTAAATATACATATATATGTTCTTCAAATATTATTTTTTGTTTTAGGGCACTACATGTAGTAATAAATGATAGCAGTAGTGACAGTTTTAATATGCACACATTTAATGGAATTATACCTAAAATAATTTTTGTATAAAATAGTGCTACAATTGCTTTATACAATATTAGGAATATATAATATATGTACATTAATAGACTAGTTAGAAGTAGGGTTAGCATATACTGTATAAATAATTCAATACTATAAGGTTACTTAGCGAAATACAAAGTTTATAACGTTATTAAGCAGGATATTTACGATCTATACACAAAAAATTTCATAAATATAGCAGATCAGTTGAATTTATTATCAGGAGTTGTAGAATTACGAACAAACTGATAACCTAACTTCCTAAGAGATTTCAGTAAACAAATAATAACCATACAATTTAAAAGATTTTGAGAACTAAAGCTTTCTAAGTGACATTTATTAAAATCGGTACTTCAGTTAGTTGATAAAACACATGTGGACACTTAGAACCGAGAAGAGGCCAATAACATTATGAGCGTAAAAAGCAGTTTAACTATGTATGTACATAACGGTATACATATCGTCAATTGAAATGCAAAATGTTGTAAAACAATTTATCGTATTTTATTCATTAAATATATATGTATATCAATTTAGAGGTTAATCAGGCGCTTCTGCATTTTTTATGACGATAAGTTTCTATGCGAAATGGAAGTATAGTATATGCATAAGCAAATTTTTGTTGAAGTATCAAAACAAGTAAATGAAATTTATTACATCGTGAATCGAATACAAGGTGCTTTAGTGCAGAAATTTTCGATACAAGCCTTCCTACAAAAATTCCAAATCAATAATAAGTTTTTAACTGTTCTTGCTTGTATACCAGACGGCAATTTCTAACCTTCGTGTTACTGTGATGGATGAAAAAGTTGTTTTCATAAAAATGCCTCAGTTACTTGTAGGCACTATAAACGAGTAGATTCTTAACATTCGTTATGTTCTTTGGCAAGCGATTTTTTTCAATTCGAAAATATTTGCTTTTTTAACCATCATACCAAGATAATGTCGCTTGTATTGCTCGTTGTGTACGACAGTATGTTTTGCAGAGAAATAATGTCTTTCATAATTTTGCTTCCTGCAACAACCAGTACAAAATTTCTTCGAGAAGTAGTACACGACTCGTTTTGTCATATTTGAGGTGAATTTATTAAAATGTGTGGAACAAGTAAGGAAGAGTTAAGTTCGGATGTAATCGAACATTTCATACTCTTGAAAATACCTTCAGGTGTTGGCAAAACTTTATATTAAGAAATGCAGCGAAAAGATTGAACTTCATTGTTCGACGTAAACGGATTACAATCAAATTTTGTATCATTTAACGTATTTTGTCATTAAGTCATTGCCTCAGTAGTTTTATTACTATATTTTACTACTCGTACTATATAAATATAAACATATGTTTCGAAATCGTTAATATGAGTTATAATATATATAGCTAAGGCAAGTTTTCGCCCGGTTTCATCCATTTTAGGCGCAAAACTGCATTGTTATTAGAAAAACACGATTTCTCAATTTCATTAAAATAACGAGCACATTGGCCGGTATATGTGGTATAAAGTCAACTGGAAGTTTGAAAACCCTTATATTAGGTATATGAGGGCTAAGGGATGTATTGATCTGGTTCAACCTATCCCTCGAAATTCAATAATATATCACACAGATTGACCGATATGTTCGGAAAAAAGTCAGCCAGAGGTTTTGGGGTCCACATTTCCGGTAACTGGGCGCTTGAATAATCACGGTCCGATTTTGACACATTTTAGACATCAGATGGTATACCTTAAAGGAAATATTCGCGCTGATTTTTATCCGGATATATGGAATTATCCAGATGGAGTTTAAGGTTGTGTTATATGGGAAGTAGGCGTGGTTATGGTCTGATTTCGCTCATTTTCGCACTGTTACATGAAAGTGTCAAAATAATCTTGTAAATTTGGTTGAAATTGATGGAGTAGGCTCGGAGATACATATGTGATTTCATTTAAATGTGGGAGGTGCCATGCTCATTGTCCAATTTTGACATCTGCTCTTTTAAAGCCCTTATGTGTCATCTCGGATGTAAAATTGAATGTCTATTCTAGTAGTTTCTAACAAAACCCTTTATGGGGAGTAGACGTGGTTATCACTCGATTTCACCTATTTTCATGCTTTCGCAAGAGGTGCCCGTCATTATTGCTATTCGTTGTACTGAATAACAGTTTTTTATCTTAATTTGCAGCTTAGTTACGGCGAACGGACAGACAGTCACTTGGATTTCAACTCGTCTCGTCATTCTGATCATTTATATTTATATAAATTATAATTTTTAGGTGATGCAAACAACCGTTAGGTGAACAAAATTATTATACTCTGAAGCAACATGTTGCAAGAGATGATTCAAGTAAAAGTTTAAAGATTTGCAATGCATATCTTTGCACATCAATCTACTTGTGGAAAATCAGGGCAAAAAATTGGGTCCACATATGTCATTTAACTCTGGCAGATATATTCTGGATGCTGAGTTTATTTCCTCCTTTTTACAATAATTATTAACTATTGATTAGGTTATAATATGTTACGTTTTATTGTATGCTGGTACCGAGTCAGGTGTCATCTTTCAAATATTTGAAGAATTATTCCAAAGGCGAAAAGAAAAGGTGGAATCTTTGTATTAAAATCCTCAAATAAAAATATTATCGATTGTGATATTAAGAAGTTACTTAGTTAGTTACAATTGGGAGAAAAAATCCTGGAACAGTTTTAAGGCTGTAGTGCATGGCTTTCTTGGAAACCGTAGCGCTGACAATTATGACGAGCTGATCATTGACATGATTAAGAATCTCTTTATTATCGGATATAGAATTTATCTAAAGATGCTCATGTTGCATTCTCGTTCAAATAAATTTAAACATAATGTGGGAGCTTTTCAGAAGAACAAGGAGAACGCTTCCATCAAGATATATAAGAATTTGAGAGACGTTACCAAGGCAAATTAATTTCAACCAAGTTTGGTACATAAGATTATATTTACATTCGCATGTTACAGTGCAAAAATGTGCGAAATCGGATAAAAATCAAGCCTACTTCACTATAACACAACTTTAAATTCCATCGGATTTTTTCACTTTTCAGTATACAAATCAAACACTAATTAATGTATCGGGCAATGTGTGAGTTATCTCAGTGAAATTGAAAGAGCGTGTTTTTCTAATATCAGTGTATCGTTGTACGTAAGCTATGATCCTGGCATGTTGCAAGAGTATGAAATGCTCGGTTATATCCGAACTTAGCATTTTTCTTCTGGTTATTCTTATTCTTATTTTGAGGTATAAAGCAACAAAAATAAGGTATGTATAACCTGTGCGCAAAAGTGCTGTTGACCGGTGTAATGGCTGATGTACGAATTGAATTTTTCTGAAACCTTTGCTTTGAAGTATTGTATCTGTATTTCCATATTCTTGTTATTGTTTAAGTGTATTACAAACCAATAAAAAATAATCAAAAAGCCATCATAGCAAATTGCATGTTTTCTAAGCAAAACTATGCCAAGTTCAGGGTAATTGGATTACTATGGATCAAGATTATTTGAATAAAGTTGTATTTTAATGATTTAACTTTTATGGACTAAATTTACGCTATTTTACAAACGTGTTAGGTATGTGAGAGTTGGCAACTAGTGGTACATGTATATGTAAGAATAAATATCTTTTGGAAATAATTGTAATTTTTGTTGTTGTTTTTACTTACATCCTGGAAAACATGGAAAC